CATTTTGCAAAGCGACTCTTCCAGAAAATTTACGAATCTCAAAAATTACGGGAATTTGCAAAATATGTCTTCGTCACGAATGTACAGTCTTGTTATCTAATTTTGGGTTCAGTTTCTATGGATTACGTAATTCGTGATTCGTGTCGAGAGGACGGATTTACGAAAAAATTTGCTACAGTTAAACATGTTCTCCTGGGTAAATTTAAGAATATTTTTTTTTGCAAAATATGATATAAAAAATAGTCGTGTCATCCTATTTTGATTCAGTTTCTATGGATTTTCTTTAACTCGTATCTTTTTTCATGGAAAGGATGAGTTTGCGAGATAATTTTGCGAAATTTACAGTAGTTGGTCAGAAAATTTGTAAATACAATTTTAATCCTTGGCAAAATTGCTTCAAAATGATGGTTTACATCACAAGTTGCTTAATTTTCCAAGTTTGTTGCGGTGAGTATGCCCAATATTTTTTATATTTTTCTCACGGAAATCTGCAAAAATTTCGGTTACAAAATAATCTTTGTAAGTATAAAATTTATGCTAATTGACACAATTTGTGACATAATTCCCTCCCAACTTTAGTTCCACATCTCCCAAAAATTTCGGGTAAAACATGATTTGAGAATAAAATTTTAATCGTGGACAAAACGAATGGTGGAAACTTATGTAATTTATATCACAAGTTAAGTACATTGTTATTCTAAATTTTATTTGATTGCCATGAGTACGCCCAATATTTTTTTACATTTTTCTCACGGAAATCCGCAAAAATTTCGGTTACAAAATAATCTTAGCAAGTATAAAATTTATGTTAATTTATGACACAATTTATGACACAATTTGTGACATAATTTTACCCCCCAAAACTTACAAAAATTGCGCATTTCACAATACGAACCCTACAACAAATTCCACTTTCTCCTCCTCACCACTTGACTCCCTGCTCCATCCTCTCGAGGGATTAACTCGGTCGGTGAGTTGTCTTCGTCGTCGTGGTAGAGAAAGCCTTAAAAATTGATGACGTCCCACCCATTCCTTCGACACGCATTGCTCATCCGGAAGGGAGAAATTAAAGAGAAAGCCAGACATTCAGTCTCCTCAGGTTAATTAATTAAGCACATTTCCCTCTGTTCAGAGTAAGTCATGCAGTCAGTTGAGAACCGTTCAACGATAAGAACAAGAAGAGGACGAGATAAGGTCAGAATGAAGATTAGTCGGCTGAAAGTCAAGCGGAAATCGAGACAAGGGCCGGGCAGAAAGCGTGTCAGGCAAAGCACAAGAGTCAAATTAGGGCTTGTTTGGGCCTCAACTCATGGAATTTGAGGAGGTTTTTCACTTAAAATGCTCAGACTTTTCAAAAATAATATTGTTTTCTTATCAAAATGGAGTAAAATTTGATTATGCTGTAATGAAAATTTGGAAAAATTAATTTCTTTAGGTGACGAAAGTAAAATTTGATTAAAATCTAATGAAAATTGGCAAATTAATTTTTTAGATTGTGAAAGTGCCAAATTTTTCGCTCTAAGACTTTCACCTAGCGTATGGTTGAAATCTTTAAGTCGAGGTAATATGAGACAACGCAATGTATGCAGACGCAAGACCATAATTATCGAGACGAGAGATCCAGCCGATTTCGGAAGAGTGAGTCGCATGATCTAATTTCCTGTGACGCAACCAAGTCTGGGTTAATATTTGTAATTTCTGGAGAAAGTAAATGAGTGAGAATATTTTCCTGTCAAGGAAATGAGAGGAAATTACATCGTATGTTTTTATACTGATCCGGAGGGAAAAATCGGTTTCAGATTACATTAATTTAAGATTGGAGAAATTTTTTTAGAAATTTTTATCTTTGATTAAAGGAAGTAATTACTTCTGATAAAGATATTGTAGGAATTTAAGGTAATCCGGAGCTTGGAATTTCTTTTCAAATTGGACAAATGGGAGCAAATGCGAATTTGAAAAAAAAATTGAATTTTTGAAATTCTCTTTAGGAATTTTACATAAAAATTTTCTGAAGATTAAAACAATTAACATAATATTTATCATGGTGTGATATGAATTTAAGAAAAATAAGGAGTCATGAAATTTCTCGCAGAAAAGGAGAAAATGTGGAATATCCTTACTTCTAAAATTTTAGGAAATATTCTTTAGGAATTTTTACACACAATTTTCTTAAGATTATAAACTGCGCGTATAATTTCTCTGTGAAGACGCGATATGACTTTTAGATTAAACATTCTCCACTCCAAACAGGCAGACTTTCTCTACTCCAAGACAGGAAGGCGGATGAAAGCGTGAAATTAAAAATTGAAACCTTTGTTTTCTCCTGTTGATATGAAAATAGCCATAATTAGGGCTAATTCGTGCCCCAGGTTACGTTATTATTAATACCGTTGCGTAAAGAAAGTAAGTACAAGGTGGAGGGCGAGAATGTTACGTATTTTGTTGTTTTCTCCAAGTGTGAGTACTTTCCATTCAACGAAACCCACCCGCCGCACCTGTTGTGTTTAATGAGGTGGGATAAATTATGCACAAAATCGCCTCCCTCTTCGTCTCAGGGGCCGTTCCGACAGGATGTTATAACATTTTTTACGCCTGTTTATTCTTTGAATTTCAAATTAGCGTGTAAACCTCAGATTCGTTTGTTAAAAGTAGGCTAAGAAAATAAATAAGACGAGTTTTACTAAACATTTTTAGATTCCTGGGAGCATTTTTAGTATCAAAATGTTGAAATTTCAGGTAATTTGGAAGATTGCCAGTAGATAATTGTTCGGTATTTGTTTATTTACAATTCATTTACACCTGATAAATCTTCTTTCCGGCATTTTTCCTGAAGCGTTAAGTTCGAATTTTCAAACTTTCACACTCCAAATTTTTCTACTGACAACAATTTACCTCGTTTTCAGCTTCCCAGAAGAAACAAAAAATTCCCAGAAAAACATTTAAAATTTCAGGTAAACTGGCAAATTTCCAAATGGCTAATTTTTACCCAGTTGTTTACAACTCATTTACACCTCGAGCCTCGAGAAAAATTATCTTTTGGCAAATTTTCCTATCGAAATTTCCACACTTTCACCCTCCCCACATTTCACGGAATCCAAAAATCTTTACCAACTCGTCTTCTTTGCACACCTGGGTCCTCCTTCTATCCCACTTATCTCAGGATTACCTTGTTTGCAAGGCCACAATTGCTGTGAAAGCTTGTCTAAAATGGGATGCCGACCTTCTTCTTGTTGAGCCCTCGGAGCAAGTGATCCCCTTTCCCTTCTCCTTGAGACGTATACAATTTATCTCGACGGGAACAAATGGTCGTGGACTTTTCGTTTGTTGTTGTTTCACAGTGGGGAAAGTTTTTGGAGAAAGTCTGAACATACCAGACCCAGCAATGTGGGTGGTTTGTGTTGTGTTGTTGTTTTATGTTGTACGGATGACGACTTACTTTCTCTCCTTGTGGGCAATAATAAGTGAGTTGTGAAATATGAGGGGGGAGAAAGTTTGGAGTATTATTGCGAAAATGTTTAGCGAGAGAGGTCTGGGTTTTAGAGGGTATTGACAGCATGGTGTTAATTATGTTTTGGCAAGGAGACATTGGTGTAGGTTTCTTGATTTTTTGAAAAAATATAATTTTCTGGGGGGAATTTCACGATTTTTGAGTTTTTGTTAGAGTAAATTTGTGAGAGATATTTGAATCAGAAGAGGAGAAAACGCGAAATAAATTTGGAAAGTGTAAAATTTGTTGGCTTTAAGGCGCGTTTTTTCCTCTTTGGATGCAAAAACCTGAGAATTGCAGTTAGTGTGGTTTGCAAATTTGATATTAAGTAAATTTGTGATCGTTTGACACTAGTTTGCTAAGAAAAACTATGGGTATACGTTGGGAGACCTTTATTGCAAGTGATTTTACCAATTGTTCGACTTTTAATGCTTTTTACAAATACAATTTTTTATGGGAGAAAGTAGTAATTTTTTCCAACTCGTGGGTTGTGTTAAGTTTTGTTATTGGATTCAATTTGGGCCGTTTACATGGAGACATTCAGTAAGAAAAGTGGCGAGATAAAAGAGGGAGAGAGGAAAAGGATGGAGAGGAGAAAGTGAAAGCACTTGTTTCTCCCATGGTGGAGGTAGCTCACCAAATCCTGGCTAAAATAATATCCGGCTCACTCACTCATTCTCTCACCGAACACAACATCCACTTTCACCCAACGAAACCCATAGCTGCCCTTTTTCCAGGGTGGGAGTCCGTACGTCTTTAAAGGGTTTTTAGATGTGCGAATTTTTAGAAAACTGAAAAGTACGCGTTTCTAAAAGCAGATTTATCAAAAACTACGGTGGAAAGTTAATTTTGAATTTTTGTTGTTAAAAATTGAATTTTAATTGAAAATTGTTGCTTCAAATAAAATAATAGGGTATTTATATTAAGCCGATTTGTTTAGAAATTTTGATTTCTAAAAGCGCTGACTTTTTATGTAATCGGAAAATTGCTTACAGCAAATTTGTGTTGTAACAAAGGCAAAAGTTTAATGAAATTAATCATCTAACATAAATACGAGATTATTGCAAAGCTGAGAAATTTCGATTTCTACAAAATGTAACAGATGAATGTGGCAAAATTGTCCTTCTTATTAAATAGTTATCTTATATAATAAATTAAACTTGTTCCAAGTTAAAATTCCACCTTAAAATATAAGATATCTTGGACATAGCAAATTTGTAAAAAAAATATAGAAAACAAATTATAAAAATTGAGTTTCTCTAACAATTTATAAATAAATTCCACTAATCTCACTTTAATTTTAACAAACTACATCAAATCTCGTTCACGTCCATTCTTCACAAATCCGCCCAGCCATGTCGCACGTTCCTCTTTCTCTTTCTCCCTTCTCGTACTCCTCGTCCCAACTTTCTCCCCGTTTTTCTACCTCCTCCTCACCAATTCCAACTCCAACTCCACTTTCCACTATATAATCAATGTTTTGAGGGACCAGAGTCTCACACGGAGTCAAGACTCGGCTCCTGCTACATCACCAGCACCACCACTACCACCACGCCAATCAACTTTCCCTCGCTCTCTTTCTCTCTTACCTCCTCACGGACTTGAATGCTCTCTCCTAATCAGCACAAACTCTCTTTATCTTTATCTCAAATAAATAAACACAAACCAGGAAAAAAACTAGATAAACCAAAAAAAGGACACCACTACTTTGTCCGTGTCCGTCAATAAATAGAGAAAAAAAACCTGATAAATCTTCTCACGATCGAACAACGACCAACAAATCCGACTTTCTTGCTCTGTCCTCCTGTCACGAGAAGGGTTTATGTGTCGTCGTCCACGAACTGTACTTTTTTCCGTGTTATTATTGTCAAACCTTGTGAATCTTGTTGATCTCTTGTCTCCCTTGTCGTCGAAATCGAAATCTCTGAGGTAAGTAGCTTTTCACCTTTTTTTACCGAGTCCCACTTTACCCCAGAATGTCGTGTCTCATACATTTCTCGGGAGTGTTTCATTTATACGAAAAAGATGGTTGATTAGGTACGTCACGTTTTCATTGGAGTGAAATTTTGTGATAACTTTTACTCCCAGAAACATTTAGCTTTTGATGTGAGCATTTTTTTTCTGTAAGGCGAACTTTCACCTGGGATGATGATTTCACGGGAAAAACGGGACTAATTAGTTTAGAAAGTATGGTTCAAATTGTAATTTTTGCTCACAATGCATGGGAAATTTTATGCGAATTTCTGCAAATTTTGGAAAAGTACCCCTTGCTTTCACCGATTGCAAAATTTGAGCCAAACTTTCACCCGAGATGATTTCACGTGAAAAACACGACCTGAATGCGGGATTTGTTAGTTTATAAAATGTGGCTCAAATCGCAATTTTAACATCTTTTTCAAATATTTCACGAGAAATTGTATCCAATTTTATTAAAACTTTTGAGAAAAGTACGCCTTCCTTTCACCGAGCGAGACCATTCTGTAAAATTTGAGCCAAATTTTCACCCCGAGGTGATTTCACCACATGTAAAAAGCGTTTTACCAGGAACTAATTAGCTTAGAAGGTGTAGTTCCAATTGCAATTTTGCCAAAATTTCAAGCTAAATTTTATCCGAATTTCTGAAAACATTCGACAAAAATATGCATTGCTTTCACTGAACAAGCCGTGATTTCACTACCTTTAAACGGAACGCTACTAATTAACTTAGAAAGCACGGTTCAAATTGTAGTGACCAAATTATTTCCAAAGTTTCATATGTTTCACATAAAAGCAGCAGCCTTGCCGTGTGTCCTTGTGATTCTGCATTGTCTCCTTTTCCATCTGAATTTGCGACTTGTTCGTCATTGTATTTTCAGCATAATAACTTGTTTCAAGGTGCGATGAAAAGATAAGTTGGAGAAATGTGAGATCTACGTCGTGAAATTGGTATCATATTCTCTACTTAAGACTACTTTAACGTGAAGATGTATTCATAATAAATGATAATTTGACCCTATTTACACAACCGTTCAGTGTCGTTTTGCTCATAAATTTTGCACGCTCAATTTTGATTTCCTCATTTACCTTGGCCAAGAAATGTCCAGTATTCAAAAATCGGTAGTATTGATTAATTGATACACTGTAAAGCATCAGGTCGAGTCATATATATACAAATATTCCATACTGGTAATAATTCCCTACCAGATTGGTAATAGTTTGATTCTGAGTGATAAATATTTCACCACCACCACATTACTACGTCGAAATGCCGTATCTCGAACACAATTTGAAAATATGTAACTTAATAGTAAACTAAACTCTTAGCAAAACGATGTTAAATCATTACCGGAGTGCATATGTACATATATGACTTCACCGACACGGTAATAACGAGCATTGCCTTGCAGTGATGAAGTATACCGTTGTGGTAATGAAAACTTACCACTCAGAAACAAACTACAACCAATCCGGGAGGAATGAAGTTATTCCCAAATCTATTAATATACCGGAGTACGGTGTTCATGTGACTTCACATTTTTAAGTACTTGTTTCCAGCTCTGCACTCTAGAAGACGAATTTTGAATATAATTTGAAAATATGTAACTTAATAGTAAACTACTTACAAACTAGAGATTGACAACTACAAAATCTTATATGCATAGATACATACGTTCTAAATAACTTTCTCCTCATGATAATGAACTCTTTAACATTGTCACAAAAGTTTAAATAATTCATTTTGTGGAATACTCAGCGAATCGAGTCTTATTTACTTAGCTTAAACATATGCAAAATTTCAACTCGATCCGATAAACGAAAAGAACCTTATCCAGCCCAGATGACGGACCGACACAAAGGTTGCATAAGCCAATTTCAATCTAAAAATATGCTCGGTACAAATAGTTGCTACATAACCAAATTATCATAGCACTATCGTCCCACTCACACGAATTTAAGCGATTTTTAGTCAAAAAGTGACACTAATTTCAACATAAAATCTACATTTCCTAAGTAACAACTTGGTATAGAACGGATTTCAATTTTATTACCGTTCTTAATTTTAAAACGCAATTTCTCTCCATTTTTTCAACCTACTTTTTCAAATTAGACATGATTACTTCTCGTACACAACTTAATTAAACAATTTCATCAAGAAATAATTCGACCGAGAAGAATTCTTCGTCCAACATACTTTTTTCCTCTTCTTCTTCCTCCTCGCAATCATGACCAAATGGTTATCGAATAATACTCCGTTCCCCATTTCCCACCCGATTGGGAGGAAGGAAGGAAGGAAGGAAGGAATGCGGGATGAGAGATGAAACGCGATCTATATATCCGGCATGTCTAGACATTAAGATTATCATTATCTTTTCAACCTTCTCCACCTCCTCCTCCTCCTCCTCCTCCTCCTCATATAAAAAAAGTTGTAGTCCTCTTTTTGATTATCTTTTCCTTTCCAGCATCACAGACCGATCAAGTTGGAACTCACTTCTGTCAAGGATCGTCCAAATTCTGTGTGGAAAGAGCACTCTAAAAAAATAGGAACATAATTTTTTTACCAATTTTTAACTTCTATCAATTTTTTACCAAATTTTTCAATTTTTAACCTAACTTAACTTTACTAAATATTTAGTTTCCCCGAGACATGGAACTATTAAGTCTTTTTCCCTCTATTGAAGTAATATTTTTGAAATTTACCCAGACATTCACATTATTTCATAAAACTCGGCCCTTTCACAAAATTCAAAAGTTAGTGAACGAAATTGGTAACACAATTTCTACCAAATATACGTCTTGTAACGTGAGTTATCGCTTCGAACTTGGAGATTTTTAGCAAAAATTAATCCAAAAATTTGCATTATTTCAAAAATGTAATTACTGTTTCCAAAAGTTTCAGAAAAGTCTTCTAAATCCCAATTTTTTTATAAATACCATTTCCATCAAACTTACACCTTCAATTCTCCTTGAACCTTTAGAGTTACCAAGTTGTCTTGGTTTTTGAACTAATCAAAATTTTAGGATGGACTATTTCCCAAAAAATTTCAGCAAACATATTTTCCGCTCTATCTTTGTTTCGATAATGAAATTTCCTTCTCCCAAAATAACTTGCTAAGGTCATTTTATTGACTTTTGCCCTCCTCCACGTGGCCTTTGGACGTGGCAGGTGGCCGTAATGAGACAGGGATGAAGGAGCGGAGTGGATTGGAGTGGAGTAGAGAAAAGAATTTAAACATATATTGCACGGTTGGGAATCTTGCTCCTCCTCGGCCGTAAGTCAGATATGATTTGTTCCCAAATTGTGGTGAAAGTGGGAAATGATTCCAATTTTGAGCGCTTTCTTCCTCACTTTTCTATTATCCCGCCACCTGAAAAGTGCTCTCTCTTAACGTGTGTTGATAAATAGTAATGGGACGCCGTTGTGTATGAAGAGGTGGAGACGGAGGATGAGGAATTGAATGGAATTCGGTCCACTGGATGGGACACAACGGGAAGGAAGGAGACGAAGAATACATCGTTCCTCTCAAATGGGATACGATTACGACGGGTTAAAGCGATCTTTTTGTCCATTCCAAGGATGCGACAATCACAGGGTTCACACGGTTTATGACACACACTAAATTCTAAGGGCGTCTTTCCCCGGGTAAAAATCAGTGAGAGGAATTCGGCAGAAATTGAGTAAAATTCGAGGCATCTTGTATTCTGTGAAATTTTTTGTACATGATTCTGCACGAAATTTCTAGAGGTTTTATCCTATAAAATTGCGCATATGTAATTCTGCGAACATTTTTCTGCTCTGCCGAAAATGAGCAAAATTTCTGCCCAAAATTATCAAAAAGTTTCCAACCAGGGCAAAATCAAGATGAAATTCATTTCATGTCCAGCATGACGCAAATCTGAAGTAAAAGGGTGAAAATTAAAGAATTCTCTCAAACAGTAACATATGCACGATGTCACACATTTATTTCACCCCCTAAGAAAACCCAAGCACGCTTTATGCCACATACTAAATTCTAAGGGCCCCATTTGTATCGCAAAATCGGATAGAAATTCATTTCACGTGGAGAAAGCGGATGATCACCAGACAAGAGACGAATTAAAAGGGTTTCCAGGGATGCCGTTTGCCAGGTTCATTGCTAAGTCTAGAAGGTTCTTAAATGATTGCGAATAAAAACGATTGCGCATAAAAACAACTGCGAATATTTAAACGAGTGGTAGATTTCGCAATAATAAAAGCAAGTGTCCTAAGGGGAGTCGCCAATTAGCCTTTAATGTGATACCGATGCTGGCCTCTTTTAATGAGGTGTCAGGTCACACCAAAAAGTAATGGGTGGTTTAAATGTCTCGCTACAATGGGAAATTTTGCAAGGGGAAAACCCTTAAATCTCTACAAGTTACGGATTTAGGATTAAGATTTTTACTAATTATTGTAAAAACTGATGGAACACTGATAACAATCAGAGACAAGATTTTCGTAACTAATTTAAAATTTACGATTGTTTTCCTTTGAACAAGTTTCCATTGTAGCGAGAAATTCAAACCACCAAAGTTCAAGTTTAAGTTAAACTTGAACAATTTTGTTCAAAATTGACATGTCCCTTTGTCCCTTAATTTTCGAAACCCTGCCCAACTCAGGCCCAACTCGAGAGAGAAAGTGAAAGTACAAGAGCGAATTTCAGGAAGGGAAACGACTCGATCCTCTCCTCCTCAGGATTTTATTTTCGGCCGCTTTTGTTTGTCCAAACTATGACACCGAGAGAGTGGTCTTGGCCAAGTGAAAGGAGGAGGATTCTTCAATACCTCAGCATGAATCCTCCTCCCAGGACTTTGTTATTTAGTCAAGAGAAATTTTTCAAGTGTAAAAGAAAGCCGTTGTATAACTTGTGTAACCTGTTGGTGATAGTTTTCCCATCTGTTTCAAACTTTCTCCTTCAGAAAAAACTCTTTTATTGGCTCACGAAAAACCAGCCCAGTTCGACTACTCGCTTTCTCATAACACAATCTCAGGGAGAAAGTTTCGCTGGTTCGCAGTGTTGCGTTTCTTGGGGGCTTGGTACAAAATATCTTGCACTGCAAAGGAAGAAACGCAAGAAATGTGAGGTGCAAGAAACTGCAAGAAATATCGGCATCTAGCCGTATGAGGTATAGCGACGGGATGGAGTTTCTTGCGTCTTGCGTTTCTTGCAGGTCAAAATACCAGAATAAACTTTCTTGCGAGTTTTCTACATTTCTTTCATTGCTAATCAACCAATGCAAGAAATGGAAGATACAAGAAACTGCAACAATGTTTAAGAAATATGCAAAACTATGATATTTTACCCATTGTTTATTTCTTGAAAAAATTTTGTGCTGAAAAGTAAGAAATGTAAGAAATTCGAGGTGCAAGAAGTTGCAAAAAAGTGCAAGAAATATACCTCATTTAGCCACGCACAATATAAACTATGGCGACGGGACATAGTTATTTCTTGCAGGTCGAAATTTTTAGCTCCAAAAACCCACTTTCTTTCCGTAATTTCTTTGAAGTGGTTACTTGCACCCGAAACCCTGCTTTCTTTCTCGAAGAACTACGTGCTATCGGGACAGGCACGTTTGTGCTATGTGGTGTGGTCAACTATCTATAATCTCCGGAGAGGGAAGAGGAATTGATCCGAACTGGATTGACACGCTATTGTTATTTGAGGAGAAAGCAGCAGGTCGAAATTAAGTCCAAATCTCTCTCCCTCTCTCTCTCAAATTCCGACGGGCTCATCAACGCCAAACTTGTTTTAACCTTGTGCTTCCTCCGGGTTCAATCTGATTTGGGAGGCTGGGCGGAAATAGCTGACGACTTTCTCTGGTCGTGGATCCTGGAGAAAGCGAGGATTACTTTTTTCCACTTTCGCTCTCCTGTCCGAGAAACTCTTCGTCTTTTTAGTTTTCTTATTAGAAACGGAGGGAGGTCAAATTGGAAGTGAGCTAGGTTTTTGTTTCAAATATGACAAGTTTTGAGTAAAATGGTAAAATTTTGGACGCTAAAAAACGAACAAAACCTAAAAAACATCGCAAAATTGGGATTGAGTAAATACGTTGTTAAATTCACCCCACAAATATTTAAATCTATGATTACTTTAGTATTTCAAAAATATAAAAATTTCCAGAAAACATTTTATAGGATACAAAATCTACGGTAAAATTGATAAATTTAGTTGAGATGAACAAAACTGGGCAACGAAAATTTAAATTCCCAAAGGATTCCGCAAGAAATTTTGAATGAAAACCCATCACTTAAACCCCGCAAACTACATTACAGAATGCAATGTACCCATAATTTTTCATTCCAAATTTCTCGTTCGTCCCTGGAAATTTAAAATTTCCAAAAAATGACAAGAAATAACACGAAATGTACCCCCATAAATTCAAATATTCACAAAATCTTGACACATCATGATATATACAAAATCATGACGCAACTTCTGTCACCTTCGTTGGACACGCTGTCACCCAAGTACAAGAAATATCTAGTACCTTGTCTCAACCAGCTACATCTTCTTCTAGTGAAAGTACGAAATTTTGCCACCTTTCGAACCAGATCCACCAACAGAATTTATTTTCCGACAAACACCACGATTTCATTTCGGGAGGTGTTGTCATTTCCACGTATGAAAAAGAGGTTATGACGTCGTAAAGTAGAGAGCAAAGTCATATATTCCGTCTGACTGTGAGGAATTGCGACACTATTGTCGCACCTCCTACCTGGGCGTCGTCGCCTCTTAACCTGGAGAAAGTCAAGGTTAAACTCTTACACGCCCAGATTTTACATATTAAATAAGTAGAGTGCAAGTCGAGCTGCCAATTTTATGGGTGTGGCGACCCCCAAGATTTTTTTGGCAATAAATTTCATTCCTATTCGTCAAACTATTGGTGAAAGTTGAGCACATGACGTCAATTTAGTCAACGGTGTTCAAGTATTTTAACAGCTTTGTAACATAAATTTGGCCCCTTTTCTGCAGAATAAGTTTATGTTGTGCAGAATTATGCACATAAGTGTCACTAAGATTTGGTTCGATTTGCTAAAGAAAACTATATAAAGCGATGTGTACATAAAACTAAAATTATGCATGACATCCAGCAGAATAAAATCGACAGAAATTTTCTACAGGATTATGCAAAAAAATATGTAGGATATAATATGCATCCAGCCTTTGTCAATTATTGCAAAATTCGACACACTGATTTCTACACGGGGTGATCCGATAAATAATTTCACACCCCCAAGTGCACCTTAATGGGTGACACAGGAGAAAGTCGCTTTCCCCGAGGTAAAAAAATTGGTGGATTCTTTACCAATTTGACGGGAACTTTCTCCTCCCCACATTGCATTTCTTCCCAACTTTCTCTTGCCGATTCGGATTTGAAAAGTTACCCATGGTATAAATTGTTTGGGAGGTTTTTGACCAGGAGGAGGAATGGGAAACCAATTTTATAGGCATTTTCCTGTCCATCAGGAGCACACTTGTTTTTCTCAGACAACGCGGCGACCTCGTCCTCGGCCATTACGGGATTCCTGCCACCCGCGAGCTCCTTTCTGCACGGGTCGGAATTTTACAACGTTTTCCTCTTTATTCTCAAAGGGAGAGAGGCGAGTTCAAGTGAGCCGTGTACGTGAGATTGAATTCTTCCCTCTTAATGAGACCCACCAGTTTGTGCAAGTGTTCTCCCAGAAAGTGGGAGAAAGTGGGATAAAATTCCACAATTTGGCAGATAGGTCTTCGCACTGGGAGATATGCTTTTAGAGGGTTAAAGTTTCGTGAAGAATTACACAATTTCGAGCACAAATTTCGTTGATACAGCGATTTGTTAGAGTTTTCGGTAAAATTTCACAATTTCGTGCACATATGTTTCATCGATATAGAAATTTTATAGATTTTCGCGTAAAATTGAACAATTTCGCTAATTAATATATCCTGGATACAGCAGTTTTATAGAGTTTCTGGTAAATTTGTACAATTTTGCACGTGGATGTAGCGATTTTCTGCGTTTCGGGCGGAATTAACTACTTGGAAGAATTAGTTGCAAGCACGTGATTTCTTGTAGGTATTTTGACCTGCAGGAAATGCAAGGCGCAAGAAACCACTTCCGGCCGCTATACTTCATACGGCGCTTGCATTTCTTACTTGGCAGCAGAAAAAAAAGTTTAGCAAGAAGGAAACCATTGGTAAAATTGCAAAATTTCGCACACATTTGGTCGATTTTTAAGAGTTTACTGCGAAACGATTAACAATTTATGGGCAACATTCTACAATCTGCGATTTTATAGAGTTTCTAGTGCAATTATAAATTTTCGCACGTGACTATAGCGATTCTCTCCACGCAGAATATACTGTCCCTCAAATCTGTGTGAAACCCTGCGTGGGCCGTATTGTTTTTGAGCGCGGGCTGATTTCGTATGCAGAGTGGGACTGAGGGAAAACTTGTGCTGGTCAACATCAAAATGCTCACTTTATTATTATGCATGTCTCCTCGAAGGAGGAAAACATGCGGTGACGGTGGACGGGTCGCACTTTCACCACCACGTACATTTTCCTCTCTTCTTACTTTCCCTCTGCCGCCGATCGTGCCCTCGCAACTGGTTGGATTCACAGGAAAAATAGGCCAGGCCGGGATCCCTTCAAAGGTCGCGCGGACAGGATGTGGTGAATGTTAAAATACTTGTGACAACGCCAGATTTAGCGAGTTCCGAACATAATGTGGACAACGAGATACTGGACAGGGCAAAATGCGGACACAAAATATGTACAAAAAACCCGGCCTCTTAACAAGAGTATGTAACTCTTGTAAAGCCAAGAAACCCGTAGTACGTGATTTCACAAACCTACAAAAACAATTGCATTATCCAATTTTGACGAATTCATATCCTCGCCAATTGAAGCAAATGAGTTTGCGATATAATTTTACTAAATTTTGTGAACCAAAAAAATACATCAAAAGTTGTCCAGAAAAATTTCCCAAACCTACGTGATTGTTATGTTCAATTTTGGAAGATTGTCGTGGGTACGCTAATTTAAAGAGAGGCCTTTTAACATTGCAGGAATGAAAATTTGAAATTTTCTTCTGTAGGAATTTTGCTCAAGTTTATCCATAAAAACTTTGAGCAGAGCGATTTGTGCAGAAAAATATGCAAAATTATGCATATACCGATTTGCAGAGTAAAACCCATTATAAATTTTGGGTAGAATCATGTAAACAAAATTCTACAGCATGGATCGAGCATTTGCCGATTACTGCAGAATTCAGCACAGCGACTTCTACTCTTGGGGTCACATCCTTCTTGCAAAGCCCGCTCAACTTTCTAGGTCGTCCTTTCTCATCGTTGGCAACATGTGTCCCTCTTTTCTTATATTATCGACGTATTTCACCATCCTGTTGGGAGATCTCTCTTCTTATTGTGACCAATTTGGTCGTCCGACCCCGACCAAAATTTTATTTTATTTTATTGACCTCCTTTCATTTGTTCTTGTTTTCAGGGAGAAAGTCAGACTCGATTGAAGGAAAGTGGAAACCATGGCGCGCCACCATTTCTCTTCCGAACATCGCACCACCGGACCCCCGATCGACTACAGCACGGATGCCATCATTTATGTCACGGTGAGAGTCGACTATTTTTCGTACTTTGGGAATTTCAGAAACTTACCAATTCTTGAAAAAAAAATACTTCAACAAATTTCGTCAACTTGTAATCAAAGATTAAAATTTGGGACAATTTTTTGCGAAATTTCTATTTTTTGTACCGGCCCAAAGATTTGCATTTTGATTCCCAAGTCGAGCTTGTAGTTAAAAATCAAAAACTAAAAGTCAAAAGTAAATCAAAAACTAAGATCAGAAACTTAAACTAAAAATTCTTCCAAAAAGTTACTTTAAAAGTGATTAAAATTAAAATCCGACATTAGAGAGTTGGAGATTTTTTGTACTTTTACTTGTACTGTACTGTGACTACAGTACAATACAAAAATTAGTACAAAAATCAAAAGACCTGGAGAATTTCATTATTTTGTACTCTGAAAAAATTGTATTGTAAAACTCCGCGAAATAGATGAGTCAAAAATTGAGACAAATCAACTCATGATATACAAAATGAGAATCCCTCCAACATGTGCGTTTAAAACGATCAAACCAAAAAGTCGAAATTTTTTACCCTTGACCTCGATTAAAACGGTCACCAGGCTGATATAAGCCGAAATGATAGTAATTTCTGAACTCCTCGCTTCAAAGTGAACTACGTCTGCAACGGTTGAAATAAAATATTAACATTTTTGACCTTTGACCTCGTGAACATGGTCACGGGGTCTTCATACGTTAAAGCTATGCAGATTTCTTAAATTCTCGCCTTAATACACGTCTAAAACAGTCGACACTTAAATTGCGACCTTTGACCTCGTCCTTTCGGTCATTGGTTGGTCGTAGGTCAAAAGTATTGACGACTATAAATTCTTGGTGAAATTTCCTTTAAAATGATACCGCATATGAAAATTAAGGTACAATTTTGCGTTTACTTCACGCCAGGGTGACCTTGACCTTGACCACAGGGAGCCCATCTTCGAACTCGACCTAGGGTCAAAAATTAGAAGCAAAATGGCGAAAACGGCGTCTGATTACATTGAGGCGTTCTAGAGATATCCTAGTTGCCAACCCTTGATTTTTCCACAGTAGTACAAATTGAGCCCGTGTTTCAATTTGTCTACTGTAGACTGTAGAATTAGTACAAAAAGCTGATGACGTCATCATCTAGAGTCCACAGTACAGTCTACAGTCAGAGTACAAGGAATCTCCAACTCTCTATTGAAACTAGGCATATTTTTTTAATCGCAATTTTTAACAGCTAGGTTCCTTACTTTTCGTTAAAAAACAGAGTCAGGAGTTTCATCAAATTTTTCTAAAAAGTCAAAACCTTGTAATTTGTTAATCTGCGAGATAACCTCTCAGATTCTTTTTGTCTTTTGTTTTTTTAACGAACAGTAGTCCAACTTGCAGTAAAAATATTTCCGCTTTAGATCCGAAAAATCGGATTAAAAACGAGACTCCAACCTTGAATGTGCTTTATTACCCCACCTGTCTCTCTCCCCGAGGGGATGGCATATCTCTGACGACTTTCATATTTCCCAATGACACCATCATTTCCGAAATTGATGGGAAAACGAGTTCACTACGATGAAGAGGACACTTTATCAAAGGGAAAAAGGGCCAAGCATGAAAAGTGTGATCGGATTTTTATCGTCGAATGCGAAAAAATTTATGTAGCATGTTTTCCAGATTAGGTTATTATTTTGACCGGTTTGGAAATTCATTTTTACCGGTTTGGTAATTTCCGGCCCGGTCTGGTAATTTATTTTACCGGTTCTGTAATTTTGTACGGGCTTGATAATTTTTACGGTGTTTTAGGGACAGGCTAACTTTTTTACCTGTTTGATATTTTTTTGATCGGTTTGGTAATATTTTTACCGGTTTAATAATTTTATTTACTGATTCCTTAATTTTTTACGGACTTGATATTTTTTCTCCTATTTGATATTTTCTGTAACCGGTTTGGTAATTTCTTCTCCTTTTTTAATTTTTTGTCAATTTGCCATTTTTTACCGGTTTGGTAATTCTTTATTGTACCACGTATTCGTCCAAAATTCAAATTTCTCCCGCCATCATTTCTGCACATCCCGTCACGTTAAGGGAGGCAGGAGATGCATGTAGGATACCGAGTCTGGCGAGGAGACAAATGGTCCGCTTTCTCCGGTCTGTGTGATTTGGGTGAAAGTTGGACAATGCGAGAGAGAAAGTGGAGAGGAGGAGAAAGTGAGGAATCAAAGGAAATAAATGGTATCAGTGTCACCCACCCAGCCTAAAACATACGACTGCTTAATCCATCCATCCAGCCACCCAAATAATGAACTTCACCACTCATAATAATGTCACAAATAATTTATTACTTACTTCACCGTAGAATACACCCGTTTTAAAATGACACAATTCACGTCAACCTTTGTAAGTTCGTATTAACGTAAACTTACGAAACTTACGAGCATCTCAAAGTGAATTTTTGCTACGAACTTGCAAAACCTTGCGAAAATGTAAGGCATGGTTTTTGGTCGTGAGTTTACGTTGTTACGGAATTACGAAGGTCGACGTAAATTGCTTCATTGTTTACGAAAATATTTTTTACCGTTATTGTAACAACTACCAAAATGGTAATCTTTTACCAGTTTGGTAGTTTTTGTTTTTACGATGGAGGTCTCCCAGCATATACTCTCCGATTTCGAACTAATTAGTTCCAATCCTTCACAAATTTAATTCGTAGGAAATTTACAAAAGCAACATCTCCCAAAGGGCACGTTTGGCAGAGATATTTGCATCCGAAGAGGAGAAATCGAGCCGTCCAGTCGAAAACATGTCCATTTTCAAATTGACCACGTGTTCAACTCTGCCAAAAAATGTATCAATTTCAGAAATTTGATTTTCATATTACCGGTGAAAGCCTTAAACTTCCCAAAACTTCAAATTTACTACCAAATTTGATCACAATTTACCTCAAAATTATTAAGCGTGGGCCGAAAATATGAATTGAGTAAGGACATCGAACGACGTAGTATCCACCACTTCCGCTTTCCCCAGAATTAATGAATGTTGATCCACGTGCGAGGAGAAAGTGGAATTATTATCGTCTGTCCTGTTCCATCCTGTGTCCCGCTTTCTCCAAAATATGTCCTCCACCGCCTCCTCCTCTCGTACACACTATAAATAATTCCAGGCACGAAAAAACCACCTCACCCGCCATCCATCCATCATGCATGAGACGCCACACCACTTTCTATTTATTTGCGCACCAAAAATAAATCCAATATTGATTGTCCTCATTATACGAGACATGAAACATATGAGGCGAAATTTTACACCAATTTGTTTACCAATTTTAACCAGATGGGTGAGGATCAAAGTGATGCAAAAATCATATTTTCTTCTCCATTATAAGACAAGGAATAGGGAAGATTTACTAAATATTTTTTGCAAATGTCCTTTGCTTAACTTAACGAACGGAAACAACAATTTGCGAAAATAGAATTCTCCTAGACAGAAGTACTGATGAAATTTGCCACCAATTGTTGTTACTTAATTTTAACGGGGGGTTCAAAAATATGAAAAAATCGTATTCTTCCCCTCATAAGATAACGAAAAGGCAAAATTTGCCAGCTAATTTTGGCAAATGTCCTGTTCTCTATTTAATTGACAGGGGCAAAAATAATGCGAAAATAGATAAGATAAAGATGTTGGTGAAATTTTCCACGAATTGTTCGCGAATTTCCTTCTTACTTAATTTTAGCGGATAGGTAAGAGTCCGATTACAAGTTGTAGTGTTTACCCATGTTTATTCGTACTTTCACCTCTACTTGTAGAGCAAAAAGTACATACTTTCACTTTCACCAAGACACGTCGCCATATTTCCCAGGGGTTTTGTAAGACAAGAGTTGTCTCCTTACTTTGTCTCACGTCTTTGCAATCACGCCAAAAGAAGGCGACATGTTGCTCATTACTTAATAGAGAAAATTTTTCTCCCAACAGCGTCCCGTAATTAAATTTGGTTTAAAAATGTGCTTTTATTCTTTTTACCCTGTTAGACAGGTGGAAAGCAGAAAATATTTCACACAGGGATCAAGCATACACATATTTATGAGACAGGAAGAGAAAGTAGGACCGGAAGTTGTCTAGCAGAGGATGAAATATTACCCGCACACGTTTAGTTTTTAATGGGGGTCGATTTTTTAAAAACGTTTCGTATACTTTCATTTCTTATAATAGATTTGAACCTAAATCTCGTTAAGTTAAAATATTTTTCATTAAAGCTTTTATTTTTGCAAAATTTCAGTTTCTAGACAGCTAATTTTAGCTAAAATTCCAAATTGTAGTGAATCTATTCTCGCGACTTTGTTTGCAAAATTTATTACTGTTCATCCCGAGGAAAAATTTGAACTGGTTTCCTGCAGAAATTTTCTGCACAATTGTGCACACACAGTTTTGCAGAATAAGACGCATAGAAATTTTCTGCAGGGCTATACAAAAATAATATTCTGTAAAATACAATATACATCCAGCTTTTGTCGATTATTACAGAATTCAACCCAGTGATTTCTACTCGGGTTAATTGTGAGATTAAATAGCTTCTTTTAACCCACTTTCCATGGTAACTTTATACCATTAAAATTTACCCTAAAACCTATCAAACGACTATTTTTACTCACGCAAAGAAAGCACTACAACTTCCCGGAAACATTGCGTAAAATAAATTTCCTCCAAAGTTTATTCACTGTGTGCTAGCTTAGCTGAAGAGCAAAAGTAAATATGTGCAGGAGATAAAGAAAGCAGCAAGTTTTTCATGGTGGACTTTCACTTGTCTTTTTCCTCCTCGATTTCCACTTTCCCCGTCCCATTGAGATATGTACACATGTAGTCCGAAGAGAGAGAGACAATCGGTCCCCCATTATTATTCTCCCTTCTTTCCGACCTATCGACTTTTGCACGGGACACCATCTTGCCACAAGTGGGGACTGTTTTTCGCCCATCGTGACCTTGACACGCTTAAGGAGACACATTTTCTAAATAGTGTTTCCCTTTTGGCACATGTTTATTATTATTTTAAAACAATTTATTGAGAAAATGTTTTCCTTTATCCTATTCTTTTCCATGCGTTTCGAAATATTCAATATAAAATGTACATGCATACACGTGACGAGGAATAAATTTCGATTGCCTAAATGACAACGATTTTCTTTTAGCGTAATTGCCTAATCGTGGAAAGAACAAGACTTTCCTTTTACTATGTTTATTATTTTAAACTATGCTACAAATTTTTGGGGTATGTTTCTCCCTAAAAATACACCTTTTTGCAAATATTCGTCTTAAGGTGGAATGCCCCCGTGATAGATTATTAATCTCAATCTACCCCTGTTCAATGTCTTTAAGTGCAAAATTTCTAAAATGGCATGAATTTCACGAGTTTTGGGATAAATCCTAATACAGTTTCATTTCTTGTGGATTTGCAACATTTCTAGCACTGCAAAGCAAGCAACGAAAGAAATACTAGGTGCAAAAAACTGAAAGAAAGTGCAAGAAATAAGCGTCATGTGCCCTGTAAAGTATAGAGGCGTGAAGTGGTTTCTAGCGCCTTAAATTTCTTGCAGGTCAAAATACCTGCAATAAACCACTTTCTCCCCATTATTTCTTGCAAGTGGTTATTTGCACCCTAAACACTGCTTAAGTAAAACTCGACTAAATTTCAATTTCCTAAATGATTTTCCCTTAGTTTACATTCTCCTCTTGGAAAAAATAACAAGATGAATTTCTTGTCCTGAACTCTGTCCGCTTTCTTTTCACAGGAAGGAACAAATCCATCATCCATTTTGAATATTTGTCAAGCAATAAATTTACTTCATGATGCTCACTTTCCCCCTAAAATCCCTTCATAAATGTAGCCTTCATTATCCTAAATGTTTGTCAAGCAGTCTCATTTTCCCTTTAAAACCAGAGTTCATTTAGGTGGATGGTAGTACATAAAAAATCGTGATTTCTCCCTCCCCGGGGCAGTCCAGGGAAGTAGACATGTTTTAGCGTATTAATTCATCACTCACTCCATCACGGAAAGGAAGAGTACACACACACGCGGAACAGAATTTTAATGCCGCCTCGAGACTCCTGCTTCTCCTGCGGTTGACAAAGTTGTTCTTGTGGTGAAAGTTTCACAGTAAAGGGAGGACGACCAGTTGAGTCACGGCTGGCTGGCTCGTTTCGGGGGCTGTGCAGGCGTGGAGTCATAAGTTTTTTATAGGCTGAAGACCAAGATGAGGCAAATGCTCGGTTGAACCCACTTTGCTCGGCTCGGTTAAAGTGAACCAGAACGAGTCCAGTTTTTTCTGAAGCGAGCACTGGATTTTGCGAGTCGAGCCGAGCCTTTTCGAGCTTTTTTGTAAATCGAGCCGAGCCTTTTCGAGATTTTTTTTGGGAGACGAGCCGAGCTTATTTTGCGAGCGTTTTGCGAACCGAACTTCTTTGAACTTTTTGCGAACTGATCATGACTGAGTCGAGCTTTTTGTTAGTCGAGCCTGATCGAGTCACACTTTTTCGGATTGAGCTAGCCGAGCTTGAGCTAGCTTGATGAGCCCTTTCGGGCTTTTATACGAATTAAGCTTTTGAAACCTACTGCTCGACTTACTTCAGACCTCGTTGAAAAAAGTATGTGCCACTTTTTCCACGCACGTCCCCTCCCGGGATAAACATGGCCCATAAAATCATAACATTCCCTCCGCAGAAATTATTTGTAGGCGAGGTGACCTCGTTAATCCTCCTGCCACACTTGACATCTGTGTCCTGTATGAAACTCTGGGCGAAAATGAGCCCCTTGTGTTCCTCCGCAGTAGACAGAAAGCAAGGGAAAGTTACACAGCATTTTTGTGTACTACAAAAAAAAACTTACCTAAGTTTGAAATTGGGAAAAGATTTCGGCAATATTCCGGAAGTTTGCAGATGCAAAAGTGAGCGAAATTGGGTGGACGTGGATGTGGACATGGATGTAAATATCTAACTTTCTAGAGAAATATGGAGAGATTTTACATACAAATTGTACCTATCTTTTTCCCCTTAATTTGCTACTTACTTTCTCTTTGGTTGGACAACTCCAGATTTATTGGTTGTAAAGTACCCTGCACAAAGAATGGTACATCCCGAGTAGAAATCAATCTATCGAATTTTGCAATAATAGACAAGAGCTCGATGCATATTGTATTCTGCATAATTTTTTTTACACAATCTTGCCCAAAATTTGTATCGCTTTTAATTCGCAAAACTACGTGTGCATAGCTTTCTCCACAAATCACTCAAAAATTTTCTGCAGAAAACTGGCCAAATTTCTGCACAAAATCGGAACAAATAATACGAAAGCCCTTCAAATTTTTACTAAACATGGCAATTAGAACTAAAATGTCGGCCACATGCTTCCCGTAATGCCCCCATATTGACAAGAACAGGTTTCCAGCCTGGTAGCCAATTTGGTAATTTGATGCTCATTATTTCACAAAAGGGGAGAGAAAGAGAGAACGCATTTCACTACAGAGCACACTTTACACACGATTTTCCCCTTTTACCGCCACATTTACAAACCTCTCGGACAGAAAGCATGTCCAATTTATTTTCTTTGCTGGCTTTCTTCTCAGGCAGAATTTTCTGCACGGCCCGCGCGCGTCCCCGTTCGTCTTCTTCGCCTCACTCAGGTGTGCATAACGACGCTTTTTAAAGTTTCCTGCACAACAAGCAAAGTAAATCTCGAAATGAAATCCTTTGAATTCGAGGGTGAAAGTGCTCCGTGAAAGCGGACGGGGTACAATGCATGCATAAATGGAGACGTCATTTCATTAAAGCGAATTCCGTCCGAAGGACAGCACACGGTTTCAATATAAATTCACAATTGTATTAGCAACGGGACGCTGCAGAAGGGAGGTGGAATCCCATTTTGGAATGGGCAGAGGGCGGCTATGTAGCTATGAAAAATACCAAGATATTTAATAACAACGGTGGTTAGTAGAAATTGTTTCTGAAAAAGACGACAAAATTTTTATGAAAAAACTTCGAAATTTTTTGTGAAAACAACGCCAAAATATTCCCAAATAAATATATGTAACAGGAAAAGTTAGAATTACAATTTTTACAAAACTTGTACTTTTTAATCTGAATTTGTTTGCGGTCCAATTTCCTTCAACTTAACATTTCGTCTCACATCGTCAAAATAAAAATAAAAAATAATATTTAAATTTTCGAAAAAGAAATCTAAAAATTACGTAGTTTTCAAATAACAGTGGAAATATTTATGTCCAAAAACCTAGAAATATGCGCCAATATGTAAAAAAAATATTTTGAAACTCATCCTCAGTTGGGCAACACACGCAAAATGTCTGACCGTTCGTCGTTCCATCCAATTCAAAACTAGAAACTAAATACATATCCGCCCTTTGATAATCAATTGTATGCAAAATACGGCACATTATTCGCGTATGGCCAGCTTATCGGGCGGATTAATTGCAATGTACGTAACACGGTGGCCATATTAATGGTGGTATTATTGCGATTTGTGGAGGACGTGTCGCACGATGGAAATTAATAATCTTGCACAGAGCCAGAGCAAATAAGTGAGATCCTTCTCGTCGTAAAATATAAATACCCGGGTACGCAGATGGTCCTCCGCCTATATTTACATGGGTTTATCTTCTCCCCTTTCTCCCATATTTTGTATTTAGAATGTCGGGATTGATGTGGGTGAAAGTAATAATTGGCACATGGCAAATTTGTCATAATTTGCGGATTTCGGAGTTTCGAAATTATTATTGCTTTTATTTAACGAGATAATTTCATGTCACGCAATCAGACAGGAAAAAGAGATGCTCACTAAAAAAGGTATATCGTAAATGGAGAAAATTTCTTTAAAAATTTCGAAAATTTCTTGCAAAAAAGGTACAAAAAATTTACTCTCATTTTGAACTTCACATAAATCAATTTACATTTTACACATTATTTAACACATTGTTTTCTCCGTGTTAATAAGTCAAATGATTAGAGAAATTTGGCTCAAACTTCCGCTAGAAAATTATGAATTAATGAAAATCGCAAAAAATTGTCCTTAATTTCGCAGATATAATCGCATTTTACAGCTTAATTAACATAGTTTAAATTTAAAAAAAATATGGTTCAAATTCCCCCACAAAGTTATGAAATCTCTACACAAAAAACAGTAAATATCTCCTTAATTTCTCAGAAATCCAGCCATTCTTCCCGTTAATTAATTAACACCATGTTTTCTCTCTTCTTCTTCCAGGTGGTGGTTGTTTTCTACGCCGCGATTATAATCCTCCTCTTGACGACGAACTTTCGCAGGAAGCGACCCAGCTCGTCGTCTCGAACAGAGAGCAACCCTTCCACAAACACGCGGAAACATTGGCTTTTCTTCAATCCGATTAGCGGCGAGGCTCAGCAAGCATCCAAAAAGGAGTCACAACAGTTTATTCACACGCAGGACGCGGAAACCGTGTAAAGAAAAGGAAAAAAAGAACTGCCACATTTTCATATCTAGAAAAGAAAACAACTCTTTATTTCCTACGACTTTTACTGTGGGGCCAACAAAAGAATATTCACCCCGACCTTTTCGGAGAAAGCGTGGTGGCAAATTTACACGGTTTTTTGGTTTGCTTTCTCCATCAGCATGTGACGTTATTTGGAAGATATCAAATTTTCCTTGGTTCAAGATCAACTTAAGTGGACCCTTAATCAACAAACAGGGAGGCAATTTTTGGCATAATTGTTAACAGATTTTGCGGGAAATTTGAATTTTATTATCTATGAAAGCGGTTATTTTGTTTTGCTTTCTCTACAAAAAATAGTATGGTTCATGCAATTGTTAGTTTTTTGAGGGAATTATCACCTTAGATGGACCCTTTATAAGCAGGGAAGCAATTTTATGTCCATAAGTATGGACAAATTTTTTACGAAATTTGAATTTTCCTACCTCTGAAACTGATTAGTAAAACTGTTTCATTTTGCATTATCCGCCAAAACATGGTGCTATTCACACAATTCAAAGTTCTTTTTGTCGTTGCATCATCCCTTAATCAGCGGAAATGCAAATTTGGGCCCGATTTAACTCGAACTTCGAATTTACATGAATTTACGAAAGTGATTAATTGAATGGTGGAAAATCATCAACAAACATTTCTTTCCCATATCATTATTAAATATGTCATTAAATATGATACCATTTTTTGTGTACAGCCCCCTAAACAAAACTGATACGTGTCATCATATCATACTTATCTTTCCCACCCCTTAAATTTCACTTATCTGAATTTTATCCAACATAAAAAAACGCTTTCTCCAACAAATCAAATATCAGCGACGGATGACGTTACATATTCACAAACTCTGAATAAATGTTGCACAATATTTTTCGTAAAATAAAACTGTATGTACGTACTTATAAAATATTTAGAAGCAACCAACCACCATGTCACGAAAATTGGACATATCCTCCTCCCAGGATATCAAATAGCATTCCGAAATAATTGACCTTGTAACCAAACCATTTACATAATCGTTACAATCCACAAGTTTAATTAGATTGTTAAATATTTGAATTCATCTCGTCATGAATTATTAATCCTAATTATGGCCGAGAGAGAGAGAGAGAGACAAACTTTCGCGTAGAATTATGTAGATAGACATTTTAAACATTACTATTGATCCTGGGAACTTAATAATTTATGCGGAGGGGTTAAGCCATCATAAATTTGGGGAAAATGGGACAGAAAATGTACTAAAATTTAGCTACAAGGAGAAAAAGATTGATGCCGAAATTCATGCACGGCCCTTTGAGTAAACTCGTAGGAAAATGTAAATTTGCCCCCAAATCTAGATATCCATTTCCGGCGTAGTTATTAATTTAAGTGGGTTTTCTCAATGTCATGGAAATCGGAGTAGAGCCGATTTTCGATTCTTGGAAATTTTCTTGTCGTCTTAAATTTCTTTTTCTTAACCATTTAACTCCATTGTTTAACCATTTAACCATTTTACATTTTCATTTTTAACCAGTTTAACCACTTAATTTCTAATTTTTTAACCATTTAATTCCAGTTTTTAACTAGTTTAACCAGTTTAATTTCAAATTTTTTAACAACTTAATCATTTTTACTATTTTGAATTTCCACTTTTTAATTTATACGTAAAATGAACAATTTTTTTCTAGTGAGATGTGATTACATGCTCCCCGTGAATAAATTTATGTACGTCACCAGAGTGAGAAAGGTTAACTATTTTAGCATAGTAAATAGATTTCACATCCTGTTTTTCCATTTTAGTCTTAAAATAGATTCCTACTATTATTTGTCTTTCTCGGAGAAAGCCGGCTTTCACTCAGGGCCGAATTAACATTAAAAGCAAAATTCAATCATCATTTCCTGCGCGATATTTATTTTTACACGAAAATTTCACATATCCCACGCACGTACATATTTCAATAACGAATTGCGAATATCATGCAAATCAAATCATGTAAAATGTAATTATCAAGCCGGGACATGATCTAAATTACAATCGGCCAAATAACCTTTCAGACTTTTTACTACATATTAATTTTGAATGAACAGTAGGCGGTCTCTCTCTCTCTCTAACTTTATAAAAATCATTATGCACAGCCCCATAAAAATAATGGTACCTGCACTCACTTGTAATATGTAAATTAAGGAAAATATTTAAATACGTAAAAATTTAGAGCAGTAATTCTTATTCCATTTTATTTTATATAATGCGACCAACAAAAAAAAATTTGCTAAATTATCGCAAAAATCGTTACGTTCACAATTCCGTTACCAACTTATTTTTTTAAAACATTGCACATTTATTGCAAAAACAAATCGCAATTCATGATTCCGTTACCCCTTATATTTTTGCACACCCACTAAAATCTTGCAAATTATTGCAAAAAAAAACAAATCGTTATTTTCACAATTCCGTTACCGCCTCATTTTTTTACACGCCCACTGAAGTATGTATTGCACCTTATTGCAAAAACAAATCGTTACCTGCACAACTTTGTTAGCAACTTATTTCTTTTTTGACACGCCTACTGATCGGATCTAAAAAAAGAAAATATATGAATTAGCATTGATACATGTAGGTAAAAACCACCTGCAACTTACTTTAGTATTCTTGACCTTTAAGCGGAACAGTGATGATAGGATATCAAAAAACACACATATTTACTCAGAGAGAGAAAGTTTGCAAAGTAATCGATAAGAAATTATTCAACTTATCTATTCTTTTGGGACCTTACACATACAATTTGATCTATTCAAAATGGTTGATAAGGCATCATTGAATTGAACATCTTAATAGTTTAAATTTCCTGAAATTCGGGAACCACATTCCTTGTGGAGGGTCCCTCATCAATTTACCCAGTATTAAAACCACTTGTGTTTGGGTGAAAGTACGACCAGTGTGCATATTAAATCGCATATTTACATAAGTGCGAATAAAAATGGGTACAAGTGTCCACTCCACGCGGTATTTTTAGTGAAGAAGGGTCGTACAAAGGGGATATTAATTCATGCCAAATTTTAGAAGGCACATACATAAATTTCAATCTGCCTGACCTTTCTTTCTTTCCCGACATTTGTGTCAGATTTGACGTAAAGTTATGTGGATTGGATTGGATCAGAGGCGGATTTCACATTCTCATAAAATCTCATAAAATATAAGTTTCCTGACTTGGCAAAAAATACATCCTGGATTAATCTCGGGAACGAGATGGTTTAAAAATGAGTGAATGTGCAGGGTTATTTATATCCACAAATTTATACCCGATTGGTAACAATGACTTGAATTTTGAAGGAAATTCGTCACCAGGGCAAAACTTGTACTCAAATTAAATTTATACTGGGAAATTTGTTACGGAGAAAGTTTGAAATTATTGTGTTGCACGAAAAAAACTGGTAAATTGGTAATAATTTTAGTAAATTTGCATATTGTAAATAAAACACCATTTTAACACACGTTCTTTATTTAATTAATTATCAAAATGTATTCTTAATTTCTTAATTTTATCTGTTTAAAAATTTGCATCTCTGTTAATGGAAACAAAACTCTGTATTATTTACGAATTATGAAGTAATTTTCGAAAATATCAAATACACGAGTTAAAGCTTAAATTAATTTAAGAGGACCATTCACTAATTGTGTAAATAGCAGGAAAAAAATAAATTCACATTATATTATATGTACCCCATAAAATTCTCTCTTACATAATTAACGAATGTTCCCCACCCCACACAGAAAAAAAAGTTAACGATATTTTCCACGTGGAAAAACTTATGTAAGATTTTCATTACAAACTTATGTTACCTCACAAAATAATAGCATAAAAAAAGTGTTGCACAACTTTTATGTCGTAAGAATAAATATGTAATCGTTCCTATTTGCTACTTCTAAACATGAAATGAACGAATGTATGCCTATACTTTAAGTCAAGTATGTAATCTTTCTCCGTGTGGATCAGGAAATATAATTTGTTACGAATTTATGTAAAACTAAAGAAAAAAATTCTGGATCGTGAGATGATTGTGCCAAGCTGAAGAAAAACCATGGGTTTAAAAAGATGAGGATGGGGGTTGTGCAGAAAGGAGGCTAACTTGTTTTTTAGAATGGATCTGTAACAGAAAGAATTTCAATCTATGTCTTATTTCACCCCAATTTTAACCAAATATTGGACCTCCAAAAATCGAAATTTCTATATAATTCATTTCCCCAAAAAATATCCTCTATTAATTCAAAATTCCCCAGAATTATACGCAGTTCTCGTCTGCAAAAAAATAAATGCATCAATTTTTTTCTATTGGATTTTCCCACACTTTTATAGTACTCTAGCCCCTAGATTTTTTTCCACGGGGTAAAATGAAACATGGCGGCGGTAAAAAAATCATTCAAATCCTGCCTGTACGGCCCTCACTCAAAAAAAGAGAAGAAAGTTTGAATGTGATAAAAAGAAGGGAAACTTATATATACTACACTTTTATCTATTTATCCGTATTTGATGTGTGTATGTCCGCGTGTAAGCGTTTGTTTGAGAAATATATATGTCTATAAAAGTAATTTCAATTATGTGTGTAGTTCTTCTTCCTTTATTGCATTTTCAGTATGTGCAAAGACAGAAAGCCATCCCGTGCATAAAAATGCTTATTTATTTAGGCATGTGAATTTTGGCCATGCCTAAACTTTTTGGCAAAATCGGGGCAACGTGGTTATACGATTGTCCATATGTGGGTATAATACTAAGGTAAATACGATCATAGTCAAGACTTTTCACATATTTTCAGGAGTTTAATTAATCTGGTAATGGTGCAGGTACTCATTTTTTTAGTAACAACTTTTTAGAAATTCTCAAATTTTTAGCTCAAAAACCGAAGGGACAACAAATTATGCTGTTAATGCGTGTCCAGATACGAACATAAGCCTGAAAACGGTTAAAAAAGGTATCAAAAAGCCAAAAAATCGTGAAGACGTCCAAAATGCATGAAAACGGCAAAAACGGCATGAAAACAGGCAAAAAAGACATATTTTTGTACACTCTGATTAAAAGGGGAAAGAGACGCATTTGATCTCGACGTTGACGTCGTCGTCATGTTGTAAGATCAGGTTTCCTTGTTTCGTCAAGTTTGCCCTTTTCTCAACTTGTTTTCCCATTCTTTTCTTCCTTCCTAACTTTCATATATGTATGTCTCAGGTTGGCTTATCATCACGGTGGGAAGAAGGGTTCTCCAAAAATCGACATGTTTTTTTATTAAAACTTTTGCATTCTGTGAAAAAATGCTGGGCGTGCAATCGTCCAAATTCTAAGATAAAGCAGGTGCAAAATTACTATTAAAAAAGTGAATAGTTCAACAAAAATGTGACCACAACACAAGAAAAAAATCCCAAAATTGTGCATAGTTTCAAAATAGTGCGTAAATACATCTACAAAAACGCATCAACATTCTCCATAAATTCAAAACAGGCATAAACACACCTACAAAAATACGCCAAAATTGTTCATAATGAACTCACCCGGATAAAAAAACATGCTGAAATTATACCCAAGTAAATACACACTGATAAAAAAACATTTAAAAATTGTGTAAATTAAATAAAGCCAAATAAAAAATTATGTTAC